TTTTCGTTTATATCCGGCCTTAGCTTAGTGACAGATTGGTTATGAGCAAACATTGCCTTAACATAATTTTTTTATATATAACTATGATTTCATTTGAACAGTCCATATTATCATATGACCTACTTAATTGCTCCAAATCTAAAACAGAACAAAAGATAAAAGAAGTAGTTTATATAAAATTAATAAATTATGCAATATTTTTCTCATCAGAATCGTTATAACTGTTATAATGATTGAGAGAAAAATTAAGAAAAAAGAAAAGCATAGTGTTAAAATGGCAAAAGGCACTGTTAAATTATTTACTCTCTAATCATTCTCTTTCAAAAGAGAAGAAAGAAAGAACTATAGTTAAAATTGAAACTACCAGAATTACTATTAAATATTTTCAAAATCATGATAATCAATGGTTAATAACCAACTTTTTACCATTTTTGAGAACTTTCGAATATCGTGAATTGCCTTAATATTAGAAGGGAGCCTATTAAAGTAAACTGGAGCTAATGTATCAAAAAATTTTTTAAAATGGGTTTTACGACTTAAAGGAATATTTACCAAATTTAAATTGTTAACTCTTAGACTGTATAAGTTGGACCTACGAATATGCATTGAGTTTTTTTTGACAAAAGCTATTAAACATTTATAGGCATAAAGATTTCATAGCGGAAGCACTTTAGAATCTACAAAGTTGGACCAGCGATGGGACCTCCTATCTTTTCTATAAATAATTCGAAGAAGACATTTTTGAACTAAAAGTAAAGGTTCAATAGAATTAAAATAAATCCCTCCCCAAGATACTATACCATATTGAAGTTTAGAGTGAACTATCGCATAATAAATTTTTAAAAGTAGACCTTTCGAGCAAAAGTTCCTTAGAAAGTAAAAATTTCCTAAACAAAATAGTAAATATTTCTGAAGGTTATTCACATGGGGTTTATAATTTAAATTACTGTCAATTTCAACTCCTAAGTATTTGAAAGTTTCTACAGACTCGATTTTAAAGCAATCTGAAGAACAGCTAAAATTTTGATTTATCGATGAATTTCTAATACAACACCCATTTGAACAAGTAATTTTTTTGCAATCAGTTGAATGAAAAATTAAATCCAAATCGGAAATATTTGCCTTTTTTAATTTAAAAGTCATTACTTTAGTCTTATTACTAATTTTAAGTCTATGATTTATAAACCAAGATCTAATCAAGTCAATATCCGATTCCAAGCTGACTTTGAGACTATTAAAATTTTTTTCATTATTTGAAAATGCACAATCATCAGCAAACCCTGTCACGTCACCTTTGAAAGGTTGATTGAAAAGTGAATTTATATAGATTAGGAATAACAACGGACCCAAGACTGACCCCTGTGGCACTCCAATGTTTATCGTACTACTTTCACTAAAGACATCATTCAGTTTTACTTTTTGAATTCTATCTTGAAGATAAGAACGAATAAAATCTAGCATAAAACCTCTGAAACCAGCTTTTTCTAATTTTGAAATTAAAATTCCATGATCGATGGTGTCGAATGCCTTAGTAATATCTATAAACAGAGCAGCTGTGTGGTTACTTAAATTTAGACTTGAATATAATTCGGAGCTCAATTTTAAAATAGCATCTTCGGTGCTTCTGTTAGCGAGAAAACCAAATTGCCTATTGCTAAAGAAATTAATTTTATTCAAATAATTAATCATTCTTTTTTTGATTAATTTCTCGAATAGTTTGCCAATACTCGGTAAAATAGAAATTGGTCTGTAGTTACTAATGTTATCTTTTGGACCCTTTTTATAAAGTGGTAACACTTCCGAGTTTTTTAAACTATGTGGAAATTCTCCACTGAAAACTGAAAGATTAAAAATATAACATAAAACATCGGAAATAAAGGGTGCGATTTTCTTTAAAACATTATTATTAATAGCATCTATAGTACATGAGTACTTATTATTTAAAGCCAATATAGAATCAAAAATTTCGTCAGGAGAAATTTCCAAAAAACAAAAGAATGCGGCTGTAAAACATCAGAAATTAATTTAAACTCATTAAATTAATAAGTTTTCAACTGTATTTTTAGTCGATTCAGCAAAAAATTCATTAAATTTATTTGCAATTTGTTTATCGTCAGTGATTATGTCATTATTACAAATTATTGTATTTATATTATTGTTAGGAACTTGCTTAATTAAAATGTCATTGACCACCTTCCATTCCATTTTAGAGTTACCAGAACGACGATTCAATTCAGAAGTATAATATGTATCACGCAAAATTTTTACTTTCGAGTTTATAACTTTGCAGAGGGTTTTAAATTCAGTTTTTAAAGTTCCATTGTCGGGATCCTTTCTGCATTTCAAGCCTAATTTATTTTTGATTTTAATTTAATTTAAAAGCTCATCTGTCATCCAAGGTTTTAGTTTTCGTTTATTTACTTTAACTTCGTTTGTTTCAAAGGAACTTTGAGAAATATGAAATTTTAGTATTTCGATGAATTTGTCATAAGTAAGACTCGGATTTGCTTCTGTTTTAACTGAATACCAACTTTCATGTTGAAGAAAAAAGGACAGTCTCAAGAAGTTAATTTTCTTACGAGAAATATTTTCTGAATCAGAAACGCGTGGAGACAGATTATAAGTATTTAAAGATAACGAAATCATATTATGATCCGTAATACCTAAATTAAAATTTCCTGCCACCAGGTCAAAGCCTTCAAAAAGATTTTGTTGCCTTAAAAAAATATGATCAATGCATGTACTGCTAAAATCAGAAACACGCGTTGGCGACTCTATTAAAGGTGAAAACCCGTGCATTGATAAAACTCGCATATAAATTTCTTTCAAACGTGACTCTTTCAAAATATCAATGTTTAAGTCTCCAATTACAACAACATTTTTTGATTTTTCCTTTAATAAAATATCATCAAGTTGATTAGGAAATAAAGAATAATCAAAATTAGTGTTATTCAACCTGTATATACAAAAAATTATAAAATTAACATTTTCAAAAGTACATTTAATTTTGATGATATCAGCAGTATCTAAAGAAATTGAAGTACATAAGTTTGGAAAATAATTTTTTATATAAACTGCAATACCACTAAAAGCATAATTATCGTTGCAATTACAATGCAAAAAATACCCAGGAGTATTGAAATTGGATTGCTCTGCGCTATAAATCCATATCTCACTTAAAACTATTGTTAACGGCGGACTATTTAAATATTCTAAATGAGCTTAAAACGTATCAAAATTCTTTCTTAAACTGCGTATATTTTGATGTAATAAAAAATGTTTGGATAAGAAATTTAAAGGAATTGTAGAATTACTAAAAGGAGTAGAATGCATTTAAAAGCTTAAAAAATTTTTAATATTTACTTAATTAGATATTGTCTAAATCACTAATATTTTTTATTATATAGTGATTTGCTCCTTCTTCTTTTCTAACAAAAAAAAAATTCTTCCACCTCTTATCCAAACAAACTTAATTTATTGTTTTTTTCGCAGCTCTTTAGCTTTTTTAAATATAAGTCTATTTTTAGATGTTAGACTTTGATTAATATAGATATTAGTGTTCTCATGTTTAATCCTATTTTTTACAGTTTTACTTTTAGATAATATATTTTTCTTAAATTCACTACACTTAAAAGTAATTCTTACTATATTTAACGTTCCGAAATCTCCGCTTTTACCTGCAACATTTCGGTTTATCTTGATCACTTGATGGCTGTTGATATCCTCCGGTCCTACAACCGTATCAAGCCAATTGCTTAAAATGTTACATGTTGTTTTTACGAAGTGCGAATTCTCTAACAGAGGCATATTCACAAGGTCTACAGCATTTACTAACGCCTTTTGCTCCAAATCATCAACCTTATTTTCCAAAAAATTAACCTTTTTCTTCAAGGTTATGTTCTCTTGCTCTAGCTCCAGCAGCTTAGACACGTACGACTCATGGATTTGTTTGATTTCGGCGAACATTTCGTAAACTTTCTCCGTATTCATGGCGTCTGTAGAGGGCTCCAAAATCCCGGAAGCAAATTTGCTAAGGAAGGTGAAGACAATGATTTCTTTGAACATTTCTCACATATAAATGACGTTTTTAAAATCCCCGAAACACAGCTTGAATGAAAAAATTGCTTGCAACTTTTGCATTCAATATTCTTTTGCTGTCTGTCGATTTTTTTTAAACATTTGTTGCAATGCATTTGTCTTTTTTGTTTTTATTTTATAAACTTTTCACTTTTATTACGCTTAAGCAGCAAGCACAGGAAAATTTTTATTTTTGTTTTTTATTTTTTCTTGTTTTTTAATTGCAAAAAAAAAAAAAAAATTAAAATTAATAAATTAATTAATAAGCAAAATTGAACTTATGTGTTCACCCCACAATGAACAAAATAAGACTGATTTAATTCCTTCAAGACGTTCAAAATATCTGTCTCCTATAGCTCTTAGCAACTCAATTACTTTCTTTCACTCTTTTTTATAGCACTTTCGAATTCTTATTTGTACTCATTTAAATAATCATTGTTCATTTTGACCTGAAAATCAATGTTCTGTAATATCACATCCAGATTTTGAATGTATAAGATACATTCATCACAAATGAATTTGATGCATCTATTAGAATCCAGAAGATTGCTCGCTGCTTGTTCTAAACCTGAGCATTCGATAGCACTATGGTAAATATTACCACAGACACCAGCACATCTTATTCCTATCTCACCGCTAATTTTAGTTCTACATTTAGTACATTCCGCCATAACCTGAATAGTTACCGGAACAATTATGCAAAACACGCGAATTTAAATAAAATTTAATTAACCAATATTTTATCCGAAAAAAATATACACGCCCGATTATTTTGATTGATTTTTCACGAATTTTGCTTGGATATCTATTGACCTTACATACATAGCTGCTCCATATGCTTTCTCGCTTGTATCTCCAAATCGATGTAACTCGGTTAGAACAACTGCATTATTACTAAAAACGAATCTATTTATTTTCAGTTTCTATTCTTTCATGTGTCCTAGTTTTAAGTAATCTTCTAAAAACTCAATATATTGTTGTTTGAGTCTTACATCCTTTCCTAATTTCTTCTCAAGGCTTAGAAATCTTCTAAACGCAATATTTTTGGATTCCCCCAGCACCCCTGGAGATCCCAAAATAATCAGATTTACTACAAATCTACCCTCTTGATCTCGCTCTGATGTGTTCATAAAATATTCTTCACATTTCACATCAGCTGTCTTCATAATTTCATTTGTGCTTATATGTGGAACTTCTTGGTGCACTTTTCCAATAACAAACCAGCCAAATACAGTATTTTGAAACATGGGTAAATGTTTGTTCAATTTTATTTGGCCTACCCTTAATAATTCGCTAAACATTTCCGCACCTAATAGAACATCAACCCTTTGTGGTTTATTAAAATTGGGATCTACTGGCTGTACTTTTTGCCGTATATTCCAAGTTGAAATATTTATAAATCTCTGTGGTTGCAAACTGGTTATTTCTTTAATCACTCTTCCCTCGATATTTGTTGAGAAATTTTTTATTCTTGAATTTATTGTTAAGTTTACTCTGCCTTTGGATTCTACTTCTATTTTTCCAATTCCGTAAATTGAAAGCCCTTGATCTGAAGGTTCCAGCTGCAATCTTTTTCTTAATCTTTCACTGATGAAATTGATTTGAGAAACTGAATCTTATAAGATTCTGCATTCAATTTCTTTATTGTTTTTATCTAACACAATGCCTTGCACTGTGCCCAAAAAACGTAATTGTTGCTGTTATCTTCTGCCATATTAACTGTTGTATTGATTTGTGGTTTGTTTTGAACTACCTTATAATCATCTTGTTATAAGGTGTTATTTTTTTATGTTACATTATCTGCAACCTCGGGAATAACATGTCTTTGTATTATGGCCTTTTTTTTAACAATTAAAACATAACCGTACTTCTTTAATTTTTGTCTCTTTTTCTTTTTGATTCATTTTTAAAAACTTATTGCAATTGTATATTGTATGCCATCCTTCACATATTGCACATTTTGCCCCATCTGTGACAGTAAATGAGTGGGAGTTATTATATTTTTTGGAAATTTGTGTTGTTGCGTATGACTTGGCTCCTAGGGCTTCAAATTATTGGAATCTCAACTCCAAAAATTTCATGAATTCATCTAAAAACTGAATTTGTCTATAAGATTTTAATGTTTGTTCGTATATTGTATGTGTATATTTATCTAATTTTTTATACAATATAAGTTAATAACTTCTGATATTTATTTTTTAAAAAAAAATAAAAAATAAAATAATTTTACGTTGAACCTTTTTATATTTTCTTTTATTCTTATTTTATTAACAATAATTAGTACCGCTTCAACCAATTGTTACACTAATAATAATCAATCATTTTAAAATATCAGAAATTAATATAAGTTTAGGAAAACTTCACCTGAATAAAAAAAACTCGATTTGTAAAACTTCATTTCAGCATTTTCAACACGCGCAACCAAAAATTCTTTTTCAAAAGTTACGAAATATGTAAAATAGCATTTTTCAATATTTTATTTTTGCGCGTGTTAATTTGCGTAACCAAAAGCTCATAACCCAAAAGTTGCGAATTCTGCAGAATATCATTTTTCAATATTTTATTTTTGTGCGTGTTAACTCTTCCACCCTTAAAAAATGAGTGTCCTCACTCGATCGGTGTTACGAGAACGATGCGCTGAAGAGATTTCTTTTAGAAAGTAGAGATTTTTGATTTGTGATGCACCATTTCTCGGCACTGCTTTTGGTGTCGTTTTGGATGCGGTTACATTTGCTTCGGATGCGTTTTCCTTTGAAGTGACGTTTTTCAATGCGACTTCTACCTTGGGTTCTATGTCGACGATCTTTAGCTGTTTTCTTCTTCTTATGGTGATAATTATCGACGCTTTCAGAAACTCAATTTCTTGGGTGTTGTTGATGTTAACATCTCTTAGTGATTCTAAAGATAAATGTTCATGCACTTCTTGTCTGATCATTTGGGGTTGAAGGATAGCCGGTAATATTTTGCTGGTTGATAATTCTTTTGTGAAAAAAGGTTCTCCGTCGATTGTGGCTGTAGAAATTTGAATAGTCAAGAGGTAAGTACCATTGATGTATTTCTCTTCGTTGTCTATTAAGATTACTCCTTTATACTGGTTAAGGAGGATGATACCATCTTCTACTGCTTCTACACTAGGGATGTGATTATTATCCTCTTAGTAGTGGCAACACACAGGTGGAATTTCCTAAACTTTTGATGTTATTTTTATTACATATTGTTATGTGACTTAAGTTTTTACAATTTTTTACAATTTTAAATTAATTATTTCTACTATAGAGTAGTTGGTTGAAGTCAAGTTTTATTACATTATTACCATTTTTTATTAGTTTTATTACTAATTTATCATATAAATCATTTTTTGTTATTGGTATTTCTATAAGGAAAAGCAAACAAGTTTATTTCCTCTGCATTTTAACCTCACCATTTGTAGTAATTGCATTCAAAAACGAATCATTCAACTTTTCTGTTTGCTTATTAAGTGTCACATTCAGTTCTTCCCTTTCCATTTTAAAAGAATTCATAATGTCGTATATATTTTCTATTTCCTTTTCTTGTTCGGTTTTTAGTTTACTTAGTCTTTCCATGTACCTGTTTTCAATTGCTTTAAGCAACAATATATTTCATTTTCATTGTTTTTTATAGTATTTTCAAATTCATTCTTGTACTCCTTTAGGCGAAAATAAATTTGCAGGTGTCACATTATTTGAGGTAGAACTTGATAAAGGTTTCGTCTCTTCGTTGTTTTCATTTATTAACGTGTCATTCGATATTTGAATTTTTAATTCACGAACATAGGTAGTGTAAATTCTCAACAATATATCAACACAGGGTAAACTTGGTAACCAAAATTTATTGAATTGATATGGTTGTTCAGAATATCTGATGTTAAAAATGAAAAACACTAATTCTTGTTCTTCAACCTTTTTTTAACTTTATTTTCTACATATCAATACTTATATACTAAATTTACAATCAGACATATCCCTACTCCAATTTATTTTTAAACTATTAGTTTTAAGTTATCATAATTTTTATTAAATTACAAAAAATATTTTATTTACAATATGAAACAATACAAATTCAAAATTATATTACACACAGATATCAGTTAAACCTAATTATTTACACATAACCAAAACTGATAATTTTATGACAGTCGCAACAGATGAATCTATTTTTAAATCGTTTTTATTTTTATAATCTTTTACAATTCGTAATACATAATAAGAATTGTTGTATCCTTTTCCTATTGTAGACATTATACAAATCTATGACTGTAATATGTTACTAGCAAATATTCCTATCATAAACATAATTTATTATCTATTGCTCTTATGTTGTTGCACTTGGGGTATTAAGTGTGGCTGCAGAAATGAATTGCTGAAGTTGCCGTCGATTATTTTAAACGTTTGAAGGATCTGCTATTTATCTTTTAACAAACAGTTTTGATTAAATGTTATTATACCATTGTCTTGCAATTTCATTTGGTATGCAGTATTATTGCAAACTAAATTATACAGATATTCGCTGTCTAATGAGTAAAACCATGAATTTTTTCTGATGATTTGAATCCATGTTCTACTTGGTTTAGTTATTTTGATATTCATCTATCAACAATTTATTGTTGTGCTATTAAATTGAATTGAATTGAAGTGGCCGGAGTTGCTTACATAGATAATTTTCATTGTTATACGAAATACAATTATGCGGTATGCCATTCAGCTGTTGATAAGTATCTTTATGTAGATTATGTAGATTTGTCATCAAAATTTCCTTGTCAGGTTCTATACTAACAAATGTGTTGTTTATTCTCGTTGGATGGAATTCCAAAGATCTTATTAAAGGACTACTTAACGTGAATATTCTAGACAACTATTCTAGACAATTGTCTGCCTTGTAAAATCCAATATCTCTGTCTGGAAATGGCTAATAATGCCAACGGTCTGGCATGCAAATGTTGAATGTGTAAGTGATTCATAAGTAATTTTGACACAATGTCTGTACCCCGAAGCATAATAGGATGTTTTGCGAATTCGGTGACTGCAGCGTTGTTTAATCTTCCCCCTACTCGTATAATTGCAGTCGATAAATGGTGTTAGTGAAGACAATCGACTATGTGGTTTTACTAATGTTTTTTTTAAATCTTTGAGTTCTTCTTGAAAATGATTTTTTTGGACTTCTCTAACTATTTCTAATAAGGCTTCATTTAACTCATCTAGAAATCAAATCTGCTGGATTACTTTTTGTGTTGACATAATTCCATTCTTGTACTCTAATAAATTCTTGAATAAATGCTCCTCGGTGCGCAACAAATATTTCAAATGCTGAAGACTCACTTTTTATCCACGATAAAATAATCTGAGAGTCTGTCCAATAGTATGTTGCATCTGCTTTTACTTGAAATGCTTCTTTCACTTTGATCATCAATTCTACTGCTAATTATGGCGGCGCATAGCTCCAGTCTTGGAATTGTTAATATCTTTTTAGGAGCCACACGTGATTTTGAACATAGCATTTTACTTGTAGTTGTGCCAGAAACATCAATAGATCGTACATAAACTACTGCTCCAAATGCCTTTTCACTTGGGTCTGAAAATGCATGCAATTCGATTCTAGTTGACATTTTATCTCCAAATACGTGACGTTTTATCTTCAAATATTTTAATGCGGTTATGACGATAATTTACCCATTCATCTTTTAAATCTTTTGCAATTTCCGTATCCCAGTCGCTACCATTTATCCATAATTGTTGAATTATCATTTTTGCTTTTATTATTATTGGATTTAAAAGACCCTAGGGATCAAATAGTGTAGCAGCTTCAGATACTATCTTTCTTTTCGTCCACTTCTGTGAGCTTTCTGGTTGTGAACATGGTGTTGTAAAAGCAAAGGTATCCATGCTTGGCTGTCATGATACTCCCAATGTTTTTTTGTATGTAGATTCTTCACCATTGAACGTTTTCTCTTCTTCTCTTTGTGTTACTGGAATTTCTTCTATAATTCTGTAATCATTAGATGCCCATTTACGTAATTGAAGCTGAGCTGAACCGTGCATCTGTTTTATCTGGTTTTTCATTTCAATTATTCCAACTTTTGTATCACAACCTGTTATGACGTCATCTATTGTACATAGAAATTATTCATTGCTTTAGCAGCTTCAGGATATTTTACTGCTTCCTCTTCTGATAATTGTTTAAGGCATCGATTTGCCAAGTACGGAACTGTTCTAGTACCATACGTTACTGTCGTTAATCGATAATATTTGATATTTTCTTGTGGATTTTCTCTCCACAGTATTAACTGTAGATGCTGATCCTCTAGTACCACCTTAATCTGCCTGTACATCTGCTTGATGTTGGTAGCGAAGTAATATGTCAAATAAATCATGCTGTACTTTTGCGCCCTTCATTATGATGTCGTTTAACGAAAGATTACTCGTTGTTTTGCATGAAGCATCAAAAACTACCCGTAATTTAGTAGTGCTGTTCGATGGCTTGATTATACCATGATGCGGCATAAAATAATGGATATTAGGAATTTCATTTTCTTTCAATTCTTTCATATGGTTCAATTCTGCATATTCCCTCATGAACTGAATGTATTCATTTCTTAGGTTGACATTTTTTGACAGTTTGCTTTCCAAGTTTAAAAATTTTGGCATTGCTATATTTTTTGAATTTCCTAATAAGCTATCTGTTAATGTTGAATGTTGCTTATTTCAACAAAATTATTGGTTTGCTTCTGTTGTGTCACCAAGAATCGTCCAGCCGAATACTGTTTTTTGTAATATTGGTAAATCTGCTCCCAGTTTGAATTTGCCCCCGTTCACACATTCTGCATACATCTCAACGCCTAGTAGCATATCCACTTTCTGCGGACTATTGAAGTGTGGATCAGCTAACTTTGTTGACGCTGGTATTGACCACTGTGATATGTCAATATATTTCTGCGGTTGACAAGTAGTTATTGATCTTATCACATTAGCTTCAATACTAGTATCAAACATACTTGTTTTTGACATAATTTTAACAATCAGTCGATTTCTAGATTGAACTTGACAGTTTCGTACACCATAAATGTTCAAACTTTCACTTATTACTCGACATAATACTCGACATTCGATTGGATTGTTTGCTTTATTAAGTACTTGAACTATTGCCACTCCCAAAATTATATATTTTGCAGTTTCAACCTCTGACATTGATATATTAACTGTCGCTTGTTGTTTTGTAGTGGAACCTTGACTAACTTCCTTTTTGTATAAATCATGAATCAATGTGTTGTGCTTTTGCTGACATTTTCTACAGTTACTCAAAACACATTTTTTCCAAAAGTGGCCTTTCTTGAAGCAATTTGTGCATAAATTGTGCTTCCTTGCACATAAGCCTTTTTCTTGGGGCATCATTTCTAAAAACTTTGAACAGTTAAATAATGAATGTTTTTCTTTACATACCAAACATCCACTATTACTATTTAAGATGACTCCTGTTGTTACGTAAGCCGTTTTCTGGAGTTTTGGTGACTTGCCTCTACTATCACCTATAGCTTCTAGCACTTGAAATCTTGCTTGAATAAACCTGAGAAACTCTTGTAGACTCTGTAGTTCTTAGGTATATTGTAAAGATTGCTCATATAGCACATGAGTGTCTTTGTCAAGTTTCTTCATTAAAATATGTAATAGAATTGGATTCCAATTATTGTAAACTTCCAATTCTAAATTTTCTAACATCATGATACATTCTTGTATTGTGTTAAATAGACCTTTAATTGATTTACTTAACCCAGGTACAATACTTGGTTGTCCTATTAACTTATCCAAAATGTTTGTTACTAGTAACCTTGTATTATTGAACCTCTCTTCTAATAGCTTCCAAGCTACAGAGTAATTTGCATCTGTTATTGTAAGATGTCTTATATATCTCTCTGCTTCTCCCGTTAAATTCATTTTTAAATACCACATTTTCTCTGTATTTTTTAGTAATTTTTGTATATCTATCATCTGACTAAACATATCTTTAAATTGTGTCCATTTGCAGTAATCACCATTAAACTTCGGAATATCGATATTTGAAAATTTGATGCTAGGTGTCACCTCCTTGCTTGCTTGACTAACTGGATCTTGAGGTTATGTACTGCCATAAATTTTTTAATTCGTCTAATTTGTTCTTGTAATAGTTATCGTGCTGATTCTGAGTTACAATTTTTTGTAACATGTAATTTAATTGCTGCTGTTTTCGATGACAAATCCAAATTAACTTTTGTAATACTGGATTATCAATAACATGTTCAGGTTTTTGCACAACATCTTTGATTTCTAGAACACCTGGTTTGTTTAGGCTTAAGTTCTGCAATTTCTCATCAAATTCAGTCTTGATTTTTCTGTAATATTCTTGCACATTTTTATAACACTCTTCCGTGAAATATAAATGACCTCTTTCTTTTTCGTACTTGGCTCTGATGTCATCATCACCTTTGTCAAACAATGCCCATAGTTGCTCTGATTTTTTCAATTTGTCTTGGACTAACTTTTCGGTCTTCCTTTCTTCGGTAACTTCGTATATTGACCGTACACTTCCTTCAATTGCTTAATAATTTTGCTTTGACTTGCAGCTGCTGACTCCATTTTACTTCTCGCGACTAGCCGTGACGACTTCTTTTATTACGATTACTTGATGCTGATCTGACTCCTTAAATACACGATGCTTGTCGTGTTGTATTAACGTTGGCCAGATCACGTCGGGGTCACCAGAATGTAAAATCTTGACTGCAACTCTGAACAATATATCAACACAGGGCAAACTTATTTAATTTAGAGTTTATTATTCATTGCTCTTATCCCTTTTATTGTTAAGGTTTTAAAAATACAAAATTAGGTACATAGTAAATTTCTACAACTGATATGTGAATTGATAACCAGTTGTTGTTGTTGCGTCCTAAACAGGTAGCTTCATAAGTTTTGAGCATATTATTTTGTGATTAATCATTTTCGTTAAACTGTAGTTACTAGTAACCAATTTTTTTAACCAACAACAACCAGTTCAAACAACGAAACAAAATTACATTTGTAACAGCGAAGAACACGCAAAGCGTCAAACACCTTACAACGTTCCCATCCAATTGAAACTTTCTCATTTTGTAAAACTCTAGGAAAAGATTCCTTGTCTATTTCAACGATAGCGTTGTATTTATCCTCATTCTGTTTTTGAATGAGAACATCAACCCTTTGTGGTTTATTAAAATTGGGATCTGCTAGCTGTACTTTTTGCAGTATATTCCAAGTTGAAATATTTATAAATCTCTGTGGTTGCAAACTGGTTATTTCTTTAATCACTGTTCCCTCGATATTTGTTCAGAAATTATTTATTCTTGAATTTATTGTTAAGTTTACTCTGCCTTTGGATTCTACTTCTATTTTTCCAATTCCGTAAATTGAAAGCCCTTGATCTGATGGTTCCAGCTGCAATCTTTTTCTTAATCTTTCACTGATGAAATTGATTTGAGAAATTGAATCTAATAAGATTCTGCATTCAATTTCTTTATTGTTTTTATCTAACACAATGCCTTACACTGTGCCCAAAAAAACGTAATTGTTGCTGTTGTCTTCTGCCATATTAACTGTTGTATTGATTTGTGGTTTGTTTTGAACTACCTTATAATCATCATGTTTTTGTTACATTTTCTGCAACCTCGGGAATAACATGTCTTTGTATTATGGCCTTTTTTTAAACAATTAGAACATAACCGTACTTCTTTAATTTTTGTCTCTTTTTCTTTTTGATTTGTCATGGGAAAGTTTTGATTATTGTAATTTGAATATTTGGAAGTTTGCTTTAATTTGCTATTAAATGATTTCATATAGGTTTGTGTAATGAAATATGAGAGTTTAATTGCAACGTTGAATTTTAATTTTAATTCAGCGTTAATATTTTGTTTTTGGTAGATCACGTTGCGATTAAATGATTTAAAATAAGTTTACGTAATAAAGTATGTGATTGAATTCGCAACGTTCGATTTAATTTTAATATATAGTTAAGTTTTTATTTTTTGGTATTTGTGGCGTAAGAGAGTATAACTTGCATCCTATAACTACTTCTAACAGGTGGGCTGAAAAGTCCGTATCGTTTCAATGAAAAAATATTTTTTTTGACAAATTTCGCTTTTATTATTCAACATAGTCGCCTTCAAGAGCGATACAGCGATTATAACGGTCTTCAAGTTTCTCGATACCCTTCCGGTAGTAATCCTTCGGCTTGTCCTCAAAATAGGCTTCAGTTTCGGCGATGATTTCTTCGTTGGTGTGAAATTTTTTTCTAGCGAGCATTCTCTTAAGGTCCGAGAAGATGAAAAAGTCGCTTGGGGTTATTTCACCATATTTGGTTGGTTGATGTTTCTGCTGTTTTGGTTTCTAATGCACATATTTTTTTATTCGTTCATTTGTACAATGGGCAATTTGTACAAATAGCGAACGAAGCATCAATTTTTTGAGAATTTGCAAAGGTGAAAAATTCCGCTTTATCGTGGCATCAATAGAATAAATAGGTTTTCTCGGTACGAATCCAGTGTTGTTTTCCGACCATATAACTTCATCAAGTTCTTGGTCAACGTCGTCAACAACCTCATTTTCAACAGAAAGTTTTTCTTTTCATGAATTAATTTGTTGCTAATCAAATTCAATTTCTATTTCAGCATCTGAAGATTCTGACGATTGTTCTTGTGGTAATGGTTCATAAAATTCTCCACTTCCGGATGAAAAATCATTATCACTAGATAGGCTATCGTAATTTGAGTTTAGCATATTTTCTATCTGCTCAGTATAAATTTTTCCGAACCTTTTCATCCTGAAACAGGAAATAAAATAAATACTCTATAAAGTAAGTTGGTACGTATTTGTACCACTAAAAGCGAATGGTATATATATGTACCACTAACAAAATTCTCATAATTACTTTTATATAGACTAATTTTTATACTTACTGTAATATTTATTCACAAAACTATCATTAAATATTATAAATCACTAATAAATATTGAAAGAACACTTTATTTCTGCTAGCATTTGTTGACTCAGTTCTTCTTCAATTATTCTGTGGAAAGTTTGTATGTTTGTATTTTTGTAATCCAATATGATTTTTTCTTCAGTGTTTGTAATATTTTGATTGATAATTATAATTTCAACTGCCTTGTGGTCCGAAAAACTTTGTATTCTGCCAGCTGTAGTGGATGGTTGGTGCTGTAACGCACGCCAATAGAGGCAGTTGCTAGGAAGAAATCTAAGAAATTTAAGATGAATAACATTTCTTCGTCATCTAGCCATTCTTTCAAAGTTTTTCCTGTTCTGTTGGTTGTTGAATCACCCCAGTAAGGATGCCTTGCATTAAAATCTCCTCCAATTAACACATTTTCATTTTTTAGTTGGAGCAACATGTTTGTTAGATCACTTTTGATGTTCGCGTTTCCTTTTTTGTTTTATTCGGAAACTAAGTTCAGTGCCTTATTAGTTGATTGATTATACTGCACAGTATTCCAAAGTAGATATGCTTTTTATGTGTAGCTTACGGTGTTTCAGGTTTTCTTTAAGTAATATTACACATCCGCCACCCGCATTTTCAATTCTGTCGTTTCTTACACAGCTGCAGTTTTTGAACGTTATTTTATGCCTTTCTTTTATTCTTATTTAATACCACCACATCCGGCTTGTTATCTTTAAGGAATTCGTTCAGGTAGTGCCTTTTGCTAAGGCTTACCAGCGAGTTTGTTATTTTATTCTGGCATAATTCAAACGTTATGAAGAATAAGGCATTTTTTCTATCATTATCTGTTTGTATTTTATTGTATTTAGGTATGAAATCACCTATCTTGTTTAAACAGGTATTCAAATCCTTCCCGAAGTATTTTTGTACCTCGCTATTAATGTTGAGATATGTTTGCTTTTCTGCTACCTTTGGTCTGTAGTTTATTCCTTGTTTTGTGATGTTACTATAGCTTAAATTTTCTTGCCTGAAGATTGTTGACATTCCACTATTTGATTTTTTTATTTGATTTGCCGGTTTAACTTTTTGATTTTTTTGTTCTACTATTTTTAGCCTATATTGGCACTGAGAGTAATTTGTGGATGATTTTTCCCGCAATTAATACAATTTTCTTCTACTATAATAGCTTCTACGTTGTTTTCTTTTGTTGATATTTTGCAGTTTCCAGGACTATGATCTTTCGCACATTTCATGCATCTGTAGAGCATGTTGCAGTTGACAGCTAGATGATTGAAACGCTGACACTTTTTGCATTGAAAAAATTTTGCGACCTTTGTATTTTTCAATTTTGATGCTGAATCCCATGAGAAATCTAAAATTTCTTAGTTTCTTTAATGAATTGACATTTTTAACTTGCACCAACCAGTTACAATTTTGTAGATGCCTAACTAAGGTAACAATATTTCATCTTCATTGTATGTCGTTGAAACGTGTTTTAATACGACACTAATTGGTTTTTCACTTCTTGGCGTAAATGTATAATAATTAATTTCCGCCATCTTCAACAATTCTTTTGTTTTTAGATAATCTTCTTGTATTGAGCATTGTATTTTAACTCTTTCTTTACTGATGAAAAGAGTAGTATTATCGTTTTTTAATTTGTTGTTTATCTGTTTTTGTAACTCTCTATGGTAACCATAAAAGGCAATTATTACCGGCGGCTTTTCAGTTTTATTTGGTGTTAAAGTTTTTTCGACACAGTTTATGTTTTTGCTTGTTGTTGCTGCTGTTGCAGCTGCGATTGTTGGTGCGGCTTGTTCAATTATCTTCTTATGCCGCTTTTCAGCTGTGTTTTTATTTATGGTGCCGTTATTGCACCTTTTGTTGTTCTTGTTTAACTTAGGGTACTCGTGATCTTCTTCTTCCATTTTTTGGTTGACAGCTTTATTATCGGAAACATTACTTTCAGTTTAAAAATCTCAGTCGCTTT